ATTAAAGAAATTTCAAATTATTTACGACCATTAGTGCAATCTCTTTCTTTTCATGTAACTTTCAAATTCAGGTTATTGATGTGGCTGTATCAATTGCTAAAGTTGCTGATGTGGATAGAAATATCGGAAATAACGACACAGCTATTGCTGGTTTTGAAGAGGGCGTAAAATTACTGAGCTCGTTAACAATAGGAGCTGAGGAAGTTGGACTTGAACAACGGGTACTACAATTGTCCTCTAAACGAACCCAAGTTTATTGCAGCATGGATTTTTTTAATTTTTTTTCGTAAGACTAGAAAATGATTGAGCACTTCTTGTTTTCACAGAGGATTTCAGTGCTCGAGTTCCTCAACAACCAACTCAGAAAATAGTGAAGTGTTTCCGTTCGCTAGAAGACGTTAATTTGAATGCATGTGAAGCATATGAACGAAGGACTTATTTCATCTTCTGTAACAGAAATTCAGTGAACATGAACTAGTTGTTTTTGTAAATGCCTTTAGAGAGGAATAAACATATAGGAACTCCATACACGCGCTGTTACCTATACCGTAATTTTTTTTGTTCATTTTTCTTCGTTTTGTTTCTGTTTTGAGAAAATGATTGATGATGATGAAAATGAATTTCTAAAAGTGCCATGGTTCTTGTCTTGGAGAAGAAATGCAGTAGTATTGTAGATTTAAATACCAGAAAAAAAAAAATGTCAGAAATCTAAAAATTGAGTTAACTGAGTTTTTGCTAATCCGGAGAGCCAATCGGGTGCTCTGACACCGAACCTAATGTTACTGAGCAGAGTCGATAAACAAAGCTTTTAACAGCGTACGAAAAGTGAAAATGAGGTCACACATAATTAATCAATCAATCTGCACAGTCAAATCCTGAACGCCGATCTCATGATACAGGCCATGGACATACTCGAGTACCGGTTGGATATCCATTCCCAGCTTCACCTACATGCGTAAGAAGTAAATTGATAAATATAAAACTGAAATTTTACGAGGTGAAGCAAAATTACAAGATCATAGAAAGATCAGAAGTGGTAATGTTATGAACTAACTTGATTGTTCATACCTGTATCGAAATGGATCCAACGACATGACCAGGCACCAACTCCCAAAAACGAGCCTGAGAAACTTCGACAATATCTTCACGGGAACTAATCTAATGAAAAAAGCAGGAAAAATATTCACATTCAAAAAAACAAAACTACCAACGATGCTAAAACCCGATGGCAATATGATAATTTTTCTATTTTTTTTTTTTACCTGTCTCAAGCATTTGCTCAAAGCCGACATAGGAATGCTAGGTGGTGACATCTGCAGTAAAACGCCGCCTGTAGCTTTGAAAAGTGGCATGACGAGCATAAAAACCGTGACAGAAACTAAACCCAAACACAAGACCTCAGCATTGTTAACCCTACCGGAAAAAAAAAAAAATGATAAAAAATAACAGTTCTGTAAAATTGTGTAGCAAGGAGGGGGATGGGGGATGAAAGAATAAAATTTAATTAAAGAAAGTTCCATATAAAATTCAAATTACCCAAGGCTAAGCAACCAGGATGCTAGGATTAACCCTGCACTGATAAAAATTTACGAGCAGCAGATTAATAACATAAGATAATTTTCTCACAATAGGGGGAAAAAAATGAAAACACAAGGACACTGGTTTTCTTATACCTGCGAATGGAATCAGCCAGAACATGTAAACAAACCGAATGATAGTTCATATCTTCAGCCTTTCTATAAACTGCAAGAAAAAATAGAGAACTAACTAAAAGATGCCCCAATCAAACAGAAACAATTAAACAAATTATAGTATAAATATGGAAAGAGTTAAAAAAAAAAAGAGGCGCACCAATACTGATTCGCGCATAGTTCCTGAAGAACCAAACACCAATAAGGTTTACCAGCAAATTCGTGACAGCTGAGACGATCAAGTAATGCCTAAAAATTAAAAATAAATCAGATAAGATGAATAAAAAAATTGTTAAACAAAAATCTAGAAGCAGATTCAGATAGACAAAAATGCAGCAACACTTCCACTCAGAAACTTTGTTTAGATAGCAATATAGGTAAAATTATTAGGTATTTGTTGTGAGTCTTGTGACAACTGACAAAAATACACCACCTATACAAACGAATTGCACATAATCCAGAACAAAACGAAACCTCCAAAACCCAGCAACACAACACAAACTTACTTGTGCTCAGACTCATCTTGTATAAACGCGTGAAGAGCTTCGACTGCTAAGGAGAATGACATGAATAAAAGAAATAGCTGTCTACACAAGGACATACAAGAGAGTGAGTGACTGTAGTAAAAATGTATACTAAAGTCCCCATGGAATCAGACATAAGATAAATGCAACTATAAATATTGATGAAGTAATTGATGATTTCAAGGATTTCGAAAACAGTAAACCTCAGTTTTACCACATCAGAAACAACATTACGAAATGCAATAACCATATAGACTAGAAAGTAACATAAATCACTTACAGCATTGGTAAAAGCAGATAAAACTTCTAGCCTCTTGTACCTGTTGAGAAAAAAAGGCAGGAATTGATCGAATCGGTTTTCCATCATTGGATCACGTGGAGAAAATAGCAATAGATATTTAAAAGTACCATACCCATATGTGTATGCACGGTCGGGTTTTTGTCTTGAAGCAGCCATTGCAAATAATGAAAACGACAAAAGGCCACAGCCGAACGTTAAATGAAATGCATCAGATACCAAACCTAAAACCACATTGAGGGTCACAAATCAGAAAAAAAGTAAAAAGAAAGTATAGCAATAAGCAGCAGAAGGCTGAGTATTCAACAAAGCTTCATCTTTTATTTCATATACCATAATAAACATTGATAGAAACACGGCCAGCACATAAATTTACGACCATACCCAACAAAATGTAGAGTGCAAATGCAACATCTTGTCTTTCTAAACAAATCTATACAAAGTTTTAAACTCATGAAACAGTACATCATTGATGAGACTCATTTATTCCTTCTACATCATTGCCAGTAGTTGATTTCCATTTGATATAAATAAAAACACTCTTATTCAATGACCTTTCATTTGATATACACAGAAACATTCCTATCCAATCACAAATTCTTGTATAAGATGGCATAATCGTTAGCTTAATCGTCTTACCTTTTTTTTTTTAAAAAAGAAAAATTGTATTACTTTAAGCCTTATTGCCATCCAATTACCAATACTCAAAAAAACTCAAGTAAAGGTATGATCTTTTTCTTACCAACACGTCCCGATAAAAGGCCGATAAACAACTCGGCCGTAGAGTACGCGACATTGAGAGAAATCAGCACAAACAGCCGCCTCATATGCTTGTTTCCAGATCTCAACGCCTTCAAAATCAACGAAAGAGGCGACGACAAGGCCGATAATTTCACATCGGTTACCTTCGAGTACTCAAACCCAGACTCCGGCCAGTAACTTCCCGGCGGTATATCGACGGCGGCGTTCCGATGCGAGGGAGCGTGGCGGGAGAACGCGAATCGGCGATCGGAGGTTTCTCCGAAATCGAAGTCGCCGGCGAACGATCTCGGAGAATCGGTGAGCTTATGGTAGTCAAACGCAATATTGGGATTTTTTGTGCGCGAATAATTATCCATCTTGTTCCACCAATTCAAGATTCAAGCTTTTGAAGAATTTGGAGTAGAATGAGATAAATATTGGACCTAATGCTGATTTTTCTTCGTGGGCTATGAAACGTTTCATTAGTCTATTGTTATTGCAGGCTTTGAGGTCCCAAAACCAGTAGATCCTCAGTCAAAGATGCTATATAATCCTGTCGTTTTTAGAAGCTATACAATTACTAAAATAAACATTAATATTTTTATTTTATTTTATGTTCTTATTAAACGAAATGAACTGCTGGTTAATTTATTTGTTAATTAAATAAGCTAACTTATTTGGTTAATTTTATAAATTTGTTTATTTAAATAAGTATAACTTTTCAAATAACTCCTTGAAATTTTTATTTCAGTTAGTTTATCAGTTACTTTTACAACAGGCTATGTTTGATAAACTAAATAAACTAGTTTATAGTTTATTTGGTAACTTATAATCATATAAGCTAACTTATCAGCTGTAAGTCAATATCTATAAGCTCGAAAATCAATTATAAGCTATCAGCTAACTTATCAGCTAGTTTTACCAAACATAGTCTATATCTTTGGATATCGACTCGACTCGACTCAATTATCAACAAATTTGTGAAAACTAATTATAAGTTTCTTTTATATTTACAAGTTTTCTTCAAAAACGCAATTTTTGTCAAGAAATTTGTGAAAAACTACATTATTATCTTTGGATATCGACTCGACCCGACTCAATTATCAACAAATTTGTGAAAACTAATTTATAAGTTTCTTTTATATTTACAAGTTTTCTTCAAAAACGCATTTTTTATCAAGAAATTTGTGAAAAACTAATTTATAAATTTCTTTCATATTACAAGTTTTCTTCAAAAAACGCAATTTTTAGCTCGGGCCCTCGACCTTTTGTTTTATGTCAATTGCCCCCTTTTCCTCTATATATGCTAGGGCGCCCCCGTCACCGTCCCAGTTAGTGTATTTTCCCGCCATGGCAATATCACCCATGGAAGTCGACTCAGAGAATGGCGCACTCCAGAGAAAACAATCAACCTATAAGTTCCTGGTAAATAAAGAAGAGATTTTGTTCTATCTTCCAAGTTTTATTTTACTTTTACGATTTTCTTGATATTCACCTGTGCATTTTTTCTTGTTTTTGTTCGATTTTGGGGTTCAAATTGCAGGATGAGAGCTTTGAGATACAGAGAGAGATGTACAGAGGGCAACAGTACAGTCAGATTTACTTTGCTAGACTTCACCTCATGAGAACACTGCTCTACTCTCTTCTTCCCACCTGGAAACCCCATCTGCCAAGTACCTTTTCTCCCCCCTTCTTAGATTTATTTGTAAATTTAGCTGATTTTCTTGTAAAGTTTCGGACTTTGTTGCTTTAAGCTCCTGTTATCTTCAAATGTTATGCATTTTCATCGATTGGGATTGGGTTTTGTTGATTTGGGCTGTGAACGTTAATTGATTTCTGTGGTTATGTAAGATGGTAAAATTCATGTAGAAGCGAAGTTGTTCTAGAGACATATGGTTGCTGTCTTGCGGCTTTCTCTACGATTTGAATCTCAAATAGGAGCAGGAAACACGCAATTAAAGGAAATGCCAAAATGGGGAAAGATTATTCCTTCTTCATATCTGTGTATGCTGTGAGGCTGTTCCCTACCGAAATCAATATTGCAGTTACAACGACATCTTTTTTTATAATGTTTCTAGTATGTGCCCCGGTATTTGGTAAATTGTCTTTGATGCCTTATTTTGTTAACAACTGAAGGAGGGGCAGAAAACTGGTTGAAGGAAATTTAGGAAATCTTCCCTTTTCTGTAATTTTTTCGAAATCAAATAAAAGAACAGAAGTTCAAGGCTTTAGATGTGGACATTCAATGGTTACGTTGCTGATTTATGTTTATGTTTTGTTCTTTTGTTGTCATTTTATCTATCTTAGAGCTCGATGACAATATGGATCATTTTAACGTAGACTAGTATGATTTAAACCCTCATATTACGGATATTGGGGAAATTTGAGTTCAATTGCTAACATGAAAGCATATCTCATTTATATTTAATGTAGGTTGTACCGTGCTTGGACTAGAAGAAGGGAAAGAGTGCGTCATTGTTGGAACCCTTTATAAGCACATGAAACTCAAACCTTCCATACTTGATGAGTATTCAAAGGAGGTACCAAGTGCTTTTTTTTTTTCGGCGCCCTTGGATTCAAATGCACACACATTCACACATATGTTGTTGCTTAAGCCCGATTCTCCTTCTCAAGCCCATTACCATAAATGTATGACATACAGAGGTCAGCAAGCCCGCTTGTAAAACCCCATAACTTTGTTCACTCAGATGATCATCTAGTTCTGGAAGATGAAAGTGGAAGAGTTAAACTCTGTGGGGCCCTTCTTTCGCCTTCTGTTTATGTAACAGGTATGCAGTTAAATGCTGTTCAGACAACCTGAAAGTATTACCACTGAGTGGAAATCTGATTATATTACTCTGAACTGCTTTTTCTGTGATATGCTTGTAGGTATAGTCACTGCATTGCATGGAAAAGAAACCGGGAATGGAGAATTTTTGGTTGAAGATATCTTGGAAGCTGGCCTTCCTCCTCAGACGAAGCTGCCTGTTCATTCTGGTAGGTGCTGCACAACTTTCATTTTAAAATGAGTAACATTCAAATTTCCAATGTGCGTTTTAAAATGAAGCAGGTGAAGATAAATTTGTAGTTTTTGTATCGGGATTGAGTGTCGGGAGCTTCTCCGCTAATCCTCTCCATTTTCAGCTCTTTGTCGACCATATAACCGGACATTTAGGAGACGAAAAGGTTTTGAGTATTCTATTTGCTTTTATTTCGTCTACTTTTTATGATTTAATAGTGGTCCATCTGATTCTAATGTTGAGAGCTTACAAATTTGTCTTTGCTTCAGGAACAAGGAATTGCAGCTCAAATTGTTCAAGTTGTTATTGCTGGGAATTCTGTTGAGCTTCCTCGTGGGCTTCTTCATGGTCAGGTACCCTCTTTTACTCCCACTTTTTTACCTTAACATCTTTTTTACTATATTGTTTCTGGTAATCCAAATTTCTCCTGCGAACTTCGCTTGCTGATTCTTAAGTACTCAATGACATGTAATATAATGCTAATTTTTCCTGATATGCCTTACTTGTGATTGTTGCAGACCCTGGGTTCAAAGGATCAGTCAAAGCTTTCTGAGCCAATAAAGGAGCTCGATATTCTTCTAACTCAGGTATTTTCTTATTTTTTTGCTGAAAATACAGATTCTAATTCAAACTACTTTATTTATTTAAGTTATTCAAATATCTGAAAACATTGTACAGGTTGCTGCAGGTATGCCTTTAGATATAATGCCGGGAACTAACGACCCTGCAAATTTCTCTATGCCGCAACAGGTAAAATCCGTCAACTGAAGTCAAGTTTCTGCATTTTTATGTGCCTAATTTTTATTAACTTATACCACTTTTTTTTATCCATATGCTCATAAGCCTCTGAATAGATGCCTTTTCCCTGGATCAGCGGCTTACAACACTTTCAGATCCTGCACTAACCCTCATTCCTTTGAGCTAGACAATATTAGGTAAGGAAGATATACTTCTCCAGCTATTAATTTATTTGGTTCTTTTATTTTCTTGGGAATTGTGTTGGACAAGATTTTCTCGTGCTTTCTTCAGATTCCTAGGTACTTCAGGTCAGAACATTGACGATCTTGCCAAATATTCTGACGCAAAATGTAAACTTGAATTCTTGGAGAGGACATTGAGATGGAGGCACATAGCACCCACAGCCCCAAATACTCTAGGTATAGACCATTTTGCCTTACTCTTTCTTTATTTGACTTGTTTTAATGCCATTTCTTTAATGTAATTTGAATCTTGAAAAGTAATAAATTTTATTGATATATGCTATTCAAATTCCACACAGGTTGTTATCCTTTTACAGACAGAGATCCATTTTTCCTCGAAAATTGCCCCCATGTCTACTTTGTCGGTAATCAAGATAAATACGAGACTGGCTTGATCGAGGGTGAGATTCCACACTATTTGCCGTCATTTTCTACGATTTGCTATATTTCGATCGTATAAATAATCTGCTGCCAAAAAACCACAGGATCAGAAGGGCAGGTGGTAAGACTCATTTGCATTCCTAGATTTGCCGAAACTGGAATTGCTGTCGTGGTAAATTTCTAAAATACCAATTTTATCCTTATCCAGCACTTTGAATTTTCTGCAATTGAGATTCGTACTGGATGCATAATTTAAGTCTTTTTTTTGTTCGTGCTTGTGCAGTTAAACTTGAGGAATCTTGAATGTCATACTCTCAGTTTCGGAACTCAGTTTAGCTCATAAGCTGAAGGTACGTAGGGTTGACTGAATTTTATTTCAAACTTCAACATTGAGATATTGTAAAAATCTGGTTTTATGAGGAGTAACCGAGTAAGTGCAAAACTTTATTGTTCTAATTCCCACCATACGGCATTCGCGAATGCATTTACGGGTTTTGCGTCTGCTCTGTAAACAGAGGCTTAGTGCTGAGACGAAGGCTCGAGTCGTCAAATTGTCCTGGCTATCCCTGGTTGTTGTTTTTAGCTGCAATATTTGTGACAGTTTAATTGCAAATTTATAAGATGATGTCCTAAAACCCAGTTTTACAGCAAATTCTGTATTTCTGTCTGTGTTAGACTACTTAGTCTACTTTTATATTTGTTCCAACCAAAAGATTTGTATTTTTTTTTTTTAATCCTATAAAACTGTTGTTAGTGGTGAAATGTTGTTATATATTTATTGTACTTGTTAATTGAGGTTCACAAATTATAAATAATAAACATCCAAATGCTAATTTAAGGCAAATATAATTTTCAATTTAATATAAGAGTTTATACCATTCAAAATAGATGATATACCAAATTAAAGAAACCTCTTTAGTAATATGTTTAGATTGATTAAACATAAAATTGATTTCAATATTATTTTGACCATTAAACATAAGTAGAGATTGATTCAATCATTTGGATGAAGTTTAGAAAAATAAAAAAGAAAAATTGGTGGCTTATTAAGCATAAAAATCTGGCACCTTAGCTAACTCATCACAAATCAATAATTTATGTAATTTTGCCTAGATGCCACAAATTTATCTGCATGAAATAAGTTATAATTGGTTAAAATGTATTCCAAAATATTTTTTTTCTTAAATAAGAATAAGAATATTATCGCTTGTACAGTCAAAGAATTTTGAAAATGAGCCTATAAATAAATGGATTATCAATTCCACTTTATCTCATCATATCACAAGTTAATTAATTTTCAACCATTAGCCAGTTAATCTCACAAATCAATCTAATCATTTCAAAAAATGGCATCAAATATTCTCTTATTGGGCATCTTCACCATCCTCAATTTCATCTTCATGTCCTATGCTTTTGATCAAAGGCCACTCACAGATTTTTGTGTTGCTGACACCTCTAGCCCAGGTACTAACACTAGCCCATGAGATCTATAATAATAATAATAATAATAATAATAATAATAATAATAATAATAATAATAATAATAATAATAATAATTAAAGAAACAATTTAACTCCACACATCCAAAATTCACAATTCTCTCTCTTTTTTTCTTTTCTTTTTTTTTTTTA